TGTATCCGCAAAAAGAACAGGAGTACTTGTGGCACCTTAGAGACTAGCAAATTTATTAGAGCATAAGCTTTCGTGGGCTACAACCCACTTCTTCGGATGCATATAGAGTGAAACATATATTGAGGAGATATATATACACACATACAGAGAGCATGAACAAGTGGGAGTTGTCTTACCAACTCTGAGAGGCCAATTGATATGCAAACTAGACACAATCAACTCAGGATTAAATAAAGACTGGGAATGGCTGAGCCATTACAAACATTGAATCTATCTCCCCTTGTAAGTATTTTCACACTTGCTTCTTATCAAACTGTCTGTACTGAGCTATCTTGATTATCACTTCAAAAGTTTTTTTTCTCTTACTTAATTGGCCTCTCAGAGTTGGTAAGACAACTCCCACCTGTTCATGCTCTCTGTATGTGTGTATATATATCTCCTCAATATATGTTTCACTCTATATGCATCCGAAGAAGTGGGTTGTAGCCCACGAAATCTTATGCTCTAATAAATTTATTAGTCTCTAAGGTGCCACAAGTACTCCTGTTCTTTTTAATAAAGGTAGGGTCCTTCGACAAGAAACATGGCAAAATATTTAAACTTCATATGATTAAAGGCACGTTTATTGTGAATGCAAGTTGTATTATCAGTGAGAGACTCATTAGAGTCACTTGTCTTTATTCACTGCTGAAGTTTCCAAACTGGTTTTATTTATTATAACCCATTGAGGAAAATGTAGTATAATGCTCCACACAGAGTATTATCAACTGGATAAAAACTTAAGATAGTCTAACCCATTATAAAGACATCTTATTACAGTAACATTTCATCACCACACATATAATCTCCGTTACTGATGTCTAACAAACCATTTGATTCCATTGTCCTTTTTAATGACATAATTAATGGCATTTGTCAGCAAAATTAATTAATTGGGTAGAGCCTTTGTGTTGCACCATCAGAAGTGGATAGCCTGGTGGAACGTTGCTATTGATTTTTATCCAGTATTTATTAGCAAACTTTGTTGGTTCTGTATTAAGGAAATTGAAAATACGACCCAGTACAACAGCAAACTGCTTATGTGATGTACCAGCCCCTCCCTCATCCTTCTTCAGAAGCAAGTGGATGTAGAGTCCTGGTGTTTGTCCAGCAACCTGTTCCCAATAAATTAAAACCTCTGCCAAAAGTCTCTTTGGCAGATAGTCAAATATTTGACTAGCTACCATCCAGTCTAAGCTGTATGTGGGATGATTCACAGATCCAATTCTCCCTTGTGGAATTCAGACATCAGATTCAAATCAGGTCATAGGGCAGATCTACACTACGAACTTTTGCTGACAGACATTACATCAGCATAAAGCTGCCGCAGTTAGCATATCGCTTGTGCATGTGCATGCTTGACTGCTTGCGTCTACACTGCATGTACTCACCAGGAGTGCTTATGTCGATACACAGTGTGGTGTACCATGGGGAGGTATCCTAGTGTGCAACACACCACCATCCGGCACATTGTCTTTTGGGAGGTTTTGTATGTATGCCCCCACCAATGTATGGTGGGGGCAGAAACGAGTCATGCAGGGGTGATTGGGAGAAAGGGGTCAACTTACCTGCATGCAACTGTCTCCATCCTATAATGTTACCTATTTCCCACAATTTTTGCACTGTTTTTTAAAAATGTACGATCCCGCATGACCCACCTCACAGTCCGCCATCTGTGACAGAAGCATGGAGCCTGCACAGCTCTGCACTATTGTCATAAATGTTGCAAGCACAAGACACATGATCCGCCGGTATTTGCAAAGCTTTAAGAACAAAATCAGTGGGGAACATGACGATTTCTTGGAGGACAGATTGCTGTGGGACATAGTGAGAACCATTTCAAGGTTATTGGCATTCACAGAGCAGCTGTAGACGGTGGAGCGCTGCCTTTGGGCCAGAAAAATGAACACTGACTGGTGGGATCACATCATAATGCAGATTTAGGATGATGATCAGTGGCTGCAGAACTTTTCAATGCCCAAGGTCACATTCCTGGATGTGTGTCCTGAGCTCATCCCAGCCCTGTAGCACAGGGTCACCAACATGAGAGCTCTGCTGACAGTGGAAAAGCAAGTGGTGATTGCACTGTGGTAACTTGCAATGCCAGATTGCTACCGGTCAGTGGGAAACAATTTTGGAGTTGGAAAATCCACTGTGGGAGCTGTTGTCATGAAAGCATGCAGGACTATTAATCGTCTGTTGCTACATAGTATTGTCACTGTTGGTAATGTGCAGGAGGTACTGGATTGATTTGCAGCAATGGGGTTCTTGAAGCATGCATATCCCTATTTTGGCACCAGACTACCTTGCCACAAAGTACATCAACAGAAAGGGCTGCTTTTCTATGGTTATGCAAGCATTGGTGGATCACCGGGAATGCTTCACTGATATCAGTGTTGGCCAGTTAGGGAAGGTGCATAACACTCACATTTTTAAGAACACAGGAATGTTAAGAAAGCTTAAAGCAGGGCCTTTCTTTCCCATTGATGGGAAAGAAAGCCACCTCGACAACACCAAGGAAAGATTCAAATACCAGCTCAGCAGATGCAGAATGACCGATGAATGCACTTTTGGTAGATTGAAGGGACACTGGCATTGTTTACTCACAAGACTGGATCTCAGTAAATAAAACATGCCAATGGTTACAACTGCCTGTTGTGTCCTGTATGATATCTGTGAAGCAAAGGGGGAAAAGTTGCTGCCGGGGTAGAGGGTGGAGTTGGAGCAGCTGTGTGCTGAGTTTGAACAGCCAGACACAAGGGCTATTAGAAGAGCTCAATATGGAGCTATTCAGGTCAGGGAGGCTTTGAAAGAGCACTTTAACAGTGAGCCACAGTAATATGTTGTGGTGGACAGTGCTCTACCTGGCCTGCTGTTTTGGGGCCTGTTAAGAACTGTGTGGTGCTTGGTGTACAACTGTGAACGTTACACCATCAATGCCCCTATTAATTTTGTGGTGCTTGCTGAACATTTATGATTATCACACTGTGTTGTCCCTGATCCTATGAGTTGTGTGTAAGCCTAACGTCAGTACTGGGCAAATTGATTGAAACCATAGAAAAGAACAGAATTATCAGACATATAGATGAACATGATTTGTTCAAGAAGAGTCAACGTGGTTTTTGTAAAGGGAAATCATGCCTCACCAATCTACTAGAATTCTTTGAGGGGGTCAACAAGCATGTGGATAAGGGTGATCCAGTCGATATACTGTACTTAGATTTTCAGACAGCCTCTGACAAGGTCCCTCATTAAAGGCTCTTAAGCAAAGTAAGCTGTCATGGGATAAGAGGGATGGATCAGTAACTGGTTAAAAGATAGGAAACAAAGGATAGAAATAAATGGTCAGTTTTTAGAATGGAGAGAGGTAAATAGTGGTGTCCTCCAAGGGTTTGTACTGGGACCAGTGCTGTTCAACATATTCATAAATGATCTGGAAAAAGGGTAAATAGTGAGGTGGTAAAATTTGCAGATGATACAAAACTACTCAATATAGTTAAGTAGTAAAGCAGACTGCGAAGAGTTACAAAGGGATCTCACTAAACTGAGTGACTGGACAACAAAATGGCAGATTAAATTCAATGTTGATAAATGCAAAGTAATGCATATTGAAATACATAATCTCAACTATACATATAAAATGATGGGGGTCTAAATTAGCTGTTACTTAAGAAAGAGATCTTGGAGTCATTGTGGACCGTTCTCTGAAAACATCCACTCAATGTGCAGCAGCAATCAAAAAATCTAACAGAATGTTGGGAATCATTAGGAAAGGAATAGATAAGACAGAAAATATCATATTGCCTCTATTTAAATCCATGGTATGCCCACATTTTGAATACTGCGTGCAGATGTGGTCGCCCCATCTCCAAAAAGATATATTGGAATTGGAATAGATACAGAAAAGGGCAACAAAAATGATTAGGGGTATGGAACAGCTTCTATATGAGCAGAGATTAAAAAGAGTGAGACTTTTCAGGTTGGAAAAGAGACGACTGTCCTGTCTGCTCTTTCCTTCCCAGGCTGTCTGCAGTACTCACCCTCCAGGCCCTTTGCTCACAGTCTGATGCAGCACTGGCTTGCAGGATCTCACTGAACATGTCATCCTGAGTCATCTTCTTTCTCGTCCTTATCTGGCTCAGGGGTCCGTGGGTGTGGAGGGGAAGGCTACCACAAGGCTTCAATGACAGCAGCTGCAGATAAAACACACAGAGGTACCAATGTCAGTATAGTCACAACGGAAAGTGAAAGTTAAGATTCAGAACTCCCTTCCCTGGCTCCCCTAAAGTTTTAAACTAGTTGCATATGGACACTTCTGCTCGGGATTGCTTGTGCATGGTGCCAGTCACAGCATCAGCCATGGTGAATATATCCCACCGGGGTGAGGGAAATGAGGGGGGAATTGCTCGGTTGCATGAAACTATGAGTATAGGACAATTACACTGAATACTGACACCATTTTCCACAGGTGGTGGTCAGGGCCGGCTTTAGGACCTGCGGGGCCCAATTTGAATACCCGGCGGCGGTCTGGGTCTTCGGCGGCACTTTGGCGGTGGGGGGTCCTTCACTCAGCTCCGGGTCTTCCGCGGCACTGAAGGACCCCTCCCCCCCACCGCCGAAGTGCCGCCGAAGACCCGGAGCGGACCGCGGCTGGGTGAGTAAAAAAAATTAAAAAGGCGCCTAAGGCGTGGGGCCCTCTTAGGTGCAGGGCCCGATTCCGGGAAATCGGCCTAAAACCGGCCCTGGTGGTGGTGATTTTAACTGATATCTCACTCCGGAGGGTAATAAAGGCAGAGAGAGGACAGCTGCTGGCGTCCCGAAGCTGCTCTCACCCATATGCTGCTTGACTGTGTACTGCTATGGTGCCTGCTGAAGTTATTGCTGACTGGCTGGGGCGGTGTCTTACCACAGAGAAAGAAATAAGGCTGCCATCCCTACAAACCTTTGGGAGAGGACTGCAGAATATCTCCATGAAAGTTTCACTGCGATCTCTCAGGAGGATTCAGGTAGGTTGGCCACTCATCCTGTACTAAACCAGACAGTCCTGCTTTTCTAGGGTTTGTCCCGTCCAGTATTCAGACAAAACTGGACATAGTTTTGTCGGTATCTGACAGGAGATGTCATTTTGAAGAGTGCGCTGCTTGCCCCCTGGTGGCATGACCTTGCACATAAGGTCATGCTGGCAGGGGTAGAGTGGCACGGTCTTCAAAATGGGGCCCTTCATGTGGCGTGAACTTGGATGCAGAAGGAGACTGCTCTTTGGAAAACATGGCCCTCAATGTCTCTGAACTGCCAAGGGTAACTGTGATTAATAGAAAAGGGAGGCAAGGACCCTGTTACTAGGACCCAGAGAAAAAGATAAGGACTTTGATAAGGACGTCACAGTGGGCAACGAATGCTGAAGTCAACTCTTGTTTGACTTAGATTAGCCGAATACATACTAAACATGTGAGAGCAAAGAAGCAATGTTAGAAATCTGTCATTTTCATACAGCTTCTTGAGGATTAACAAGCTCTCACATGGAGATAAATGGTCTAAGTGCTGGTGTGAGAATCACCAGTTGCTCTTCATTTCATGGACCACTAAATACGGATTATTTGCTACTCAGTCCCTACAATGGAAGAGGCTGTGTCCTCAGCTGAGTGGAGGGGGTAAAATAGGAGATCCAAACAAGATTAGCATCCTTTGCAAAAGGCAAACACATAGCCTGCATCTCTCTGCCCTCAGAAGGGATAAAAAAAAAAAAAAAAACTCCACCAAAGTAGGATCAGACATAAAGAACTCAATAGCAACCTTGCTCAGCATAAATTTAATCACGATCTGATGGAACCAATCTTAATTTGACAAGCTAACAGAGATAACAGTTAGTCAATTTCCCATTTCAACAGGCAGAGTGATAATTGAAAGCTTCCAGATATATCACATGGAGATCAAACTTGCAGCGAGCAGTAAACTTTCTGATAAAGGGCCCAAGACACTGAAGTCAATGACAAACCCCCATTGACTTCAATGGGCACTGGGTCAGGCTCAAGGTGAAAAGCCATTTTGAAAACAGTTACATTCCCCTACATCCCCAGTCAGGACAAAAGAAGCATCAGAGGATGCTTCGTCCAGATTGTACCATGTATCCTAATTCCTTGTGTGGTGAGTTGCCAAGAGTTCTGACATTGTGCCCTTCAGAGGACAGTGACTGCCGACATCCCTGTGCAGGTTAAAGAGAGAAGGATTCAGACAGCAAGGGGGTAAATAAATAAGGAGCTGGTGAAGACCAAACTTTCCAATAAGATTTCCCCTGTTTTCAACGCAGTTGTAAGGACAAAAAAAACTGCAGGCCGGGTTCTGGCCAAGCTGTGCTCAGTGCAGGACCTGAGGATGGAGGGAAAGTGAATCTAATGCCACCTTTCCACTCCCCTGAACCTGGGTATAACTAGGGTCCAATTAAACCCCTGGCATAATGGGCTTCTCTAATTTACACTGGCCTAGGGGGCATTCCACTGGATCAGAATCACTGCACTCCAGCAGCAAACTCTGCAACTGCAGACAAGTCCCCCAAATACCTTCATGCCAGCTCTGTGCCACCTGAGGATTCCCTGATGCCAAGGATATCGCCGCCTGCCCATTAGGGGCAGCTTTACAGGCTACTTTGCTGAGCAGCTTCCCACCTGCTTTTCTGACTGAAGTGAAAAGGAACTGGATGGGGGCCAGGCATCTGGCCTCTTTTCTTGTTATTTATTCATATTACAGTAGCACTTATTGTTCCCTGCTAAGCTCAAGGCCCCATTGGGCTAGGCATTGCACAGTCACATAATAGAAGACAATCCCTGCCCAAAGAGCTTCTATTTTAAATAGAAAAGACAGATGAAGGGATGATTTTACAGATGATAGAAGCACAGAGAATTTAATTACTGAGGCACAGTGAGATTAAGTGATTTGCCCAAGTCACACAGGAAATCTGCAGAACAAGGAACTGAACTCAGAACTTCTGAGGCCCATTGTCCCTCTCAAAATTCTCCTGCCTTATGCTGGGCAACAAGTATAATCTCATATAAGAATTTGCTAAAGTGAAGGAGTGGTGCAAATACATTAACTGGTGGGAGTGTGTACTGTAGGTTCATGCTGCTACACACCTGGCTAGTGAGGGATTTCTAGAGAACAGTAATGGCTGACCCTTTTGCTAAAGATGAAACTGATTTACTGTATAATATGCTTTATCTCCGCCAGCCTGGGAAGCGGGATTACTGAGACATTGTCTATTGTGTGCCAGCAAAGAACTCTGCTTCACTGACCTCTCAGACATGCAACACTAAAATGATTTTTCTGTTTTTCAGCCAGGCCTATAAGGATTTTAAAAGACTAAATGCAATTCCATTCTTTTCAGTAACTACAGCCAACATCTAAGTTGCTGAAACATGAAATTTCTTCCCTCGAATAGACAACCTTGGAACGTCTAACCCAAAAGAAATCCCATTAGTCATACACTGAGTCTGTCTCTGGGAAAATTGCTAGTGGAAGTGGGACAAATAGGCCAGGTAAGATGAGTAATGTATTTATTCTGGATTCATAAGAGCTGATCCACCTTTGATTTCCAGTGGGGGTAGATGGAATCGCTGTGAAATGTGTGGTTAAGCAGGGAGCTCAGACTGCTCTCCCTTTGGGAGGGGTGGTAAAGAGGTTACTAGAGGACAATTGTCTTGCTCACCTAGGGTCAAATGCTGACTGGCCTATGCACAGGGCTGATGGGAAAGACACAAAGAGCCCCTCCCCATTTTGTGCGCCCCATGCCAGGACATGTTACAACTGCAGTCCCTGCACTTGGGAGGTACAGACATTGCTATGTGCCCCTGGGAAGTACACATCACCCAATGGGGGCAGAGAAGCAGGGCAAAGGATCTATGGCAACAGCTGTGCCCTGCTCAATTCTCCCTAAAATCCACAGAGCTACACACTGCACACCTGAACTCAGAGCAGGCTTTGGGGGGAGCTAGTGTCAGGGAATAGGGTCAGTGTGTTTTATCACATACACTTCCTGCCCCAGCCTCTCTCAGATTTCTCTTGCCACTCGGAAGAACATTGTGTGTGGAGCTACAGCTAGGGCAGGCAAAAGCTGCTTTTACAGCATAAACATGCATCCGTCTGTGCCAGGAAACTTAAATAGGGCCTGACCATGTCCCTAGCCTCCAAGATCAGCTCATTTAAGTTTGGGGCACACATTCTAAATTGGCAGTTTTAGGCCAAAAAATATTATGCTAACAAATGTGCTCTGCTCATGATATACTGTACAGACTGGTTAGGAAATGTTCTCTTACCCCAATTTCAGTCAGGTTTTGAAGACAAACATCCTCCACAAATGACAGTAATGCAATTTAGCAGCAAAGACCACCCAAGACACTGGGAATCTCACGTTGCTTGGCCTCAGGTTCTCTGGTTTGTTCTGCTCGGCCTCATATGCACTCTTGGTTGAGATACAAAGAAAGATTGTTTCCTTCCTTCCTGACTTGGATTTTTCTTTTACTTCTCATCTGACCAACAGAACAGTTAGTAGATGGGCTGGAAAATTCTAGAATTTTGAATTCAAATATAGATACAATAACAAATGTTATAAAAGAGCCAAAAGTCAATCGCCATGGCAGTTTATAGAGGAGACTCAGTGGGGTTTGGCTTTTGTAAATAACTTTTCTCTCTCTAGGGTATGTTTGCATTGCAGGTGCTGCAGCAGCACAGCTGCCGTGCTGTAGTGTACACACTGCAGTCAGGGAAGAGGTTTTTTCATTGCTTTAGTAAATCCACCCCCTCAAGGGGTAGGCGAGGTTGATGGAAGAATTCTTCCATTGGCCCAGTGGTGAATATACTGGGACTTAGGTCAGTTTACCTGCATCTCTCTGAGGTGTGAATTTTTCACACCTCTGAGCAACTTAGGTATGTTGACCTAAGTTTTATGGGTAGACCAAGCCTTAAAGAGCCTCTCCTTGCCTCAGGCTCTTTGGGAAGCATCTCAGCTTATATACCAAAAATGTCTTTTTATCCCCTTCCCTGTTCATTTGTTTCCTGTTGAACTGGCCAACCCGCACAAACTACAGGACTCCTTTCACAGAGTTAGCCATGGACAGGAAAAACAACCAATCAAAATGAAGCATCTCCACCCATCTCAGTAGCATCTCCTCTGCTTTCTGATCCTACTTTGAACTGTCAGAGTAAAGGCCGGGTCTACACTACAAAATTTTGTCGGCATAGCTATGTGGGATGGGGTGTGAAAAACACACATACACCCCTAATCGATACAGCTATGCTGGCAAAACCCCAGTGTATACACAGCTGTGCTGACAGAAGAGTGTGTCTATCGGCATAGATAATGTCATTCAGAGATGGTGGTAGTAAAATGCCTTCTGTTGGCATACATTGCATTTACGCTAGGGGGCTCTGCTGGTATAGACAAGGCAAAACATCAGCTCACCTAAGCACCTACCTTATCAGTCTTTATAACGTTGCAAACCGCAAACCTTTGATCTGTCATAGCGAACCCCACAGGAAGAACTGCCCCTGCTACACATCCATGATGGGGCCATCTCTTCCCCCCTTCCTGGCAGTGCAGGATGCCGTGTGGTTTGCTGCTCTAGTATACCCCTCCTTCACTGGATTGTGTTTGCAACTTTTTATTAAAGCAAAGTTCCAATGAAATCATAACATACTTTGACTTATGCAAGATCAGGATAATATTCAAAGAACCTGGCTACTGGATATTTTAACAGCCCCTCAAAGCTGATGTGCTTAATTCCTCACTGTCTGGCTTGCCCTTTGATGTCTGATGAGCAAGGATCCATCTCCTCTTCCATCTCTTCACATGTGCCCGTTAATTATTCTATTCAGAGATGCTGTTTACAGACTGTTACTCTGTTTACAGTTGACTACTGTTAAACATTTGGTCTTCACAACTCCCTTTCTTCCGCTCCACCATATGCAACTCCTTCCTGATTTTTCAAAATAAATGTCTCCACATCAGTCTGGAAGGTCTCAGACTCACTGCCCTTTCCCCCAATTGCTGCCCTTACTCCACTCAGAGAAAGGAGTTTCCCCAAAACAGCTGCTTGTCTCCCCAAGACACGAGTGTTTTTTTCCCTCCAGTTCACTAAGGACTAGGAAACTGTGAGTCAGCATCACCATTCTCTTGCTGGGCATGTCCACACCTAACAGCACGGAGGAAACACATTAAAAAAAACCTACAAGCTTTAGGGCTCAGAACCACAAAGAGGTAACATGTGCCCGACTTTAAGCTGCTGAGCAGTTCTATCAAACTCAGCTATCCAAGTGCTTAAAGAGAAGCTTGCACATATGTCTTTGCAGGGTTGGGGGCCTCAAAGGGCAGAAGGTATTCTGACAAAGTAAAGGAAATACGTACAGACGGGGAAAAGAATGAATTATTTGTTTATGGTGCAACAATTCAGATCTGGGCTTAAAATGTTTTCAGCCCTCTTTCTCATCACTCCATATGGATTTTAAAATATATTTAAAACATGAAAAAAATGAAATAAACTTAAAACAAATGTTCAGTTAAAAATCTTAATAGTTTCCAATTAACAGATTATTATTACTCCCTTGTAGTGCAGCAGCACGAGTTGAGCTAAGGAATTGGGGCCCAGTTGTGCTAAATGCAAAACAAATGGAAAGGAAGGCATAGTTTCTGCCCCAAATGCTTAGGACCTAACGTAAAACAGAATGCTCCACAAGTGTGTGACCATTGACCAACAACAGGGGAGGAAGGAAGAGGGTAGCAATAGGTTCATGCATTTACCTAATCTAACAATAGGCACAACTTGACTGTACCAAATAATTGTTTTAAAACATCTTTTTTGTTGGCAAGCCCTCCTCCTTATAGATGGAGCTGATAGCACCACCTATAATTAAAGTTGCCTGACACTTTCCATTATCAGACTCTGTTTTCAGTTGCTTATAACTTTGCCAAACTTTAATTGTGCAAATTGAAATCTTCCTGCCTTAGGCTGAAGTTTTTTTGGAAAGTTTCAGTAAAAATGGCTCAGTCATTTCCAAGACAGAGATTAAGGTAAAATATGCTTTTCCTGTGTTGTTAAACTACTTACAACGATTTTGTTGAGAAGCTTTAGAGAATGGACTTGAAATTTGGCAGGAGTACAGCATTTCTGTCAGAGCAAGGTTTTTTTGCTATTCTTGTGAAAAATGCCCCAAATTTGGCCAAGTTATAAGCCTCTGAAAAATCTCAGTTCTCATGTACTCAGTAGAAACTTCTTAGAGTTTGGCAGCCAAATTCCCCAAAGATTCATCCAACGTGCACCAGCCTGGGGATGATCAAGAGTTTCCCTACAACTGCTCATTCCAGCAACCAGGGGCTGCTTTGCAGTGGCACCAATTGAGCTATTTCTTGGGGAGGACAAAATCCCACTAGCAGGGCCCCATTCTGCTCTCCACTTGCCTCCCCCTCCTCCCACAGGGACCCCAGGTCTCCCTCGGCTGGGGAGTCTCCCCTCTCTCTTACCACACAGTGCTTGAGCCAGTGCTGCCAGCAGTTGAGTTGTCAGTGGACTCCCCGAAGCTCCACCGCACAGGAACACTCCCCATGTGCCCGGATCACAACCCGTGTTCCCTCTAATTTTTTACATCCATGTGCAGAATGAATTTTGTTATTTGCACAATATGGAGGTGATGTGTGACACATTACCTTCATATTGGTGCACCTAACAAAATTCATGTGGTGGGGGTGGGGCTGAGGGGTTCGGAATGTGGGAGGGGGCTCAGGGCTGAGGGAGAGGGTTGGGGTGCAGACTCTGGGGTGGGGCCAGGGATGAGGGGTTTGGGATGCAGGCTGCCCGGGGCTGCAGTGGGGAGAGAGGACTCCCCCCAGCCTTCTCTTGCCACAGCAGCTCGGGGCCGTGGGAGAAGCGCCTGTCTCCGGCAGCTCCGGCAGGCCTGGGCCTGGCCAAGGGAGGGGCTCCTTTCCCCCAGCCATGGCAAGTTCGGGCAGGTCCATGCTGGGGTTGGCGCCAGGGGAGGGGTGCATCTCCCCACTGTGGCAGGTCCGCACTCGGGCCAGTGGGGAGGGGTGCCTCTGCTCGCCACAGCCCTGAGCCCCTGTGCAGGGCTTAACAGGCAGCTGTGCAGCTTAGAGGGAACTTAGGTCACAACACCCCTATACCTGGCCAGGGGGGCGGCTGGATCAAATTTGAATGGTATTGTGATCCTGTGTGCCAGGTCAGTATGTCACTCACTGAAATTTGGTATGAGTCAAATTTCAGTGGTGGTGTGACCAGGCAGCTGGAGCGACACAGCAGGGCTCGCCCACAGCAGCCACACTGATTTAGTACAGGACTACTGCTTACAAGTGGTTGGGTCATAGCCCTTCCTCCCCCCGCCCAGCTCCACAGCCCATGGAACTTTGAGCAAGTGCAAAAATATTGGGGGGTTTGGTGCCCCACGGTTGCCACCACTGCTGCTGTGGTGCTAGGCACAGGAACTGAGAGCAGGGGGATGTCTCTCCTTTGCTACCAATGCTCCCGCTATT